AACGACAACAACACCTCTGAAACATACATCGGACTCACAGAAACCGACTTCAAAACAAGACACAGAAATCACACCGCATCATTCCGCCACGCCAAGCACAAAAACTCTACCGAACTTAGCAAACACATCTGGACACTCAAGAACGACAACATTGACTATTCTATCTCATGGCGCATCTTATCATCTAACTCTCCCTACAACAGCTCCAATAAAAGATGCAACCTCTGCCTAAAAGAAAAATTCCTGATAATTTACCGACCCGACCTCTCATCACTAAATAAGCGTAACGAACTCGTATCTTCATGCCGACACAGAAACAAAGCGTTGCTACGCAACAACTGAACTTTAAAGTTTTTAAGTTTACCGCGCATTATGCAAATTTTCCTAGTATATAAACGATAGTCACATGAATATTCTTTCATTAAACCCCTGAAGAGTGAAGCGATTCACGAAACAGGCTTGTCGGGAAATGTAGTTACGTCCTTTTTTCCTCTCATAATATTTATTCTGCTCTGCTTCAACGTATTGAGCACTGTTCCACGCGAAAATCGACTTGCAGACTTCCTATATATATATATATATATATGTACATATATATATATTATATTTATCGAGGTTTGGACTATATATATATATACTTAAGAAAACTGCCTGACTGGCTGACTGGCTGACTGGCTGACTGGCTGAAGGACTCACTCACTCACTCACTCACTCACCTAAGCAGACTGGCTGACTGGCTGACTTCTTGAAAGACTGACTGACTCATTCACTCGAGCAGACTGGCTGTCTGGCTGGCTGACTGGGTAGCTGACTGAAGGACGACTAAATGACGGACTGCATAACTCACCAAATAATCAGCAGAATATTGTAGCGATTTTGTAGCCGATTACCCAACCGGTCAACAATAATTGTAAGAAAAATTGCATGCTGCTCTCCACTTTACATTCAAACGTTAACCTTTATAATTAATTTTATTTATAGAGGCATCATGTGTCCAGACTTGTGGTGAATACCTTACCAAGGGTCCTCCCGAGACAGAGATTAGACTCCTTGGTGGAAGTAATCATCTTGAAGGCCGAGTTGAAATTAAGCACGATGGGATCTGGGGCACAGTTTGTGATGATTTGTGGGATATCAGTGACGCAGATGTTGTTTGCCGTGAATTGTTGCTAGGAAAGGCCCAAGAGGCTGTATCTTTTGGGAGACTGGGCAGAGGGCAGGTTTCACAACCGATTTGGCTCTCAAAGGTTTGTTCGATTATTTGCCTTCAGTTTGACTGGCTATAATTTCCTTTGCGGCAATTACGCTTGTCAATGTGTGTGCAATAAGCATATTTCTATTACTTTTGATATCTGTTGCTCTCCCTGGGTATAATGGGGGGGGGGAGGGTGAGTAAATCGATTTTTACCCTCAGACCCTGCGAGTTTCCTATATTTGATCTCTAAAAGGTAGAGTGCATCGGAAAAGAAACACGCTTGGAGCGCTGCCCACACCATGGGTGGGGCAATCACTCGTGCAGCCATTTTGAAGATGCTGGTGTTCGATGCAAGGGACCTGATACAACCAGAGAATGCGTCAGCTCCTGTGGAGATGGATATTTCTTAGAGAAAGGAAACGGAAAGTGTAGTGTATGCTCTCCGAGCTGTCTTACGTGTGAAGGCTCATCTACAGTCTGCACCAGTTGTGACGCATTTCGATTCCGAAAAGGTACAATTTAGAAGAATGTGTTAGTATTAACAATTGATTCGCCTGCTAGTTGATTGGGGGTAACGGCAGATGGCCCTATTTTGACAACGACACGAGAGATCTTTTAAGTTAGGGAATATCAGAATGAATAGAGGAATCCCAATTTTTTCAATTCCTATAGCAGTATGTGTGAGAGGAATTTAAAGAAATAGCTAGTTATCCAGGGTAGGAGAGGGTAGGGCTGGAGGGAGGGTTGGCCTTAGTACCTTGCTTCGTTTTTTCTGCCTTAAATCGCCAAAAACAAAATCAGTGTTAATAATTCTGCTGCTGATGTAGAACCATATATCATATGTTTCATTAAAACAGGTGCAAGCTGCGTTACATCATGTGGACAAGGTTTCTATGGCGATACCTCTGATCGACATTGCAAACCATGTGATCCCGGATGTTACACATGCGCAGACGGAACGCTGTCCACCACTTGTACAACTTGCCCAGATGATCGATACTTGAAAGGTGACGAGTGTGTCGTGAGCTGCGCTCCTTCGCTTGTTGGTCAAAGACGACGAAAGCGCCTGGTAGGGATAAATTCCTCTGAGCTTGAAGGCCGTTTGGAAGTTTTTGTAAAAGGCGCATGGAGTACGGTTTGTGACAAAACTTTTAATTTTCCCGAGGCAAGTGTCGCATGTCGGCAGCTTGGGCTTGGATCCGCTGTAAAAGCGGTCAACAAGACTGTATACGGACCTGGAAGCGGCCCAATATGGTCTAGTGACGTGAAATGCACTGGAAGAGAACTGAGTCTGTTTGAGTGCAAAACTAAACCTCGCGAACGTTCGGGTTGTTACCACAGCAGCGACGTGGGAGTTGTTTGTTCTGGACCACTGCGCGGCGAGCCACAAATCAACCAGTGCCTGAAGCGATGCAACTCTGGCTGGTACAAGAATGACTTTGATGTCTGTAGTTTGTGCGCATCACAGTGTGCTGAATGTTCAGGCAATGGCTTCCGCTGTACTAGATGCAAGGAACCTAAATTCTTAAAAGACAACACATGCGTTGATAAATGCAGCGATGGAGAATATGGACACATTCCTTCGCGAGAGTGCCGAAAGTGTAACACAGAAAAATGTGTGAAGTGCGCAGATGGAAACCACGAGAATGACTGTATGTCCTGTAAGCCTCCAAAAGCGCTGAAGAATGGCACTTGTGTGGAGGGCTGTGGACCTGACATGTACCACAAGAGTGGAGTCTGTGCACTCAAGTGTGGTGATTTATTTTATCAGTTTGCTGGAAATTATTCTTGTCTCCCCTGTCCATCTGATTGTCTGCAGTGCGTATACAACAGTGCCAAGGGTCTGCCCCAATGTACAGTATGTGCTCCACCGCTCGTGTTCGACAACAATGTTTGTCGTACCAACTGTTCTGGTTCAAAGGTTGCCGTACCAATTAGAACTCTGAACGATTCGTCTTCGAATTCAGCGCTGGTACGACTGAGTAACGGGTCCGACTATCTTGAAGGTGTGCTGGAGATATTTCATGATGGAGTTTGGGGAACCGTGTGTGATGATGGATGGGACGCGAAAGAGACCTCAGTAGTATGCCGAGAGCTTGGCCTCGGCACGGCTGACACTACGGCATCCCTTCGTCACATCCCAAAACAATCTAGGGAAGCGCAGGGCAAACTTTGGCTAGATGATGTTTTCTGCAGAGGAAACGAGAAATCCTTGCACGAGTGTCGACATAGTCCTTGGGGTAGAACGAATTGCGGGCACGATGAAGATGCGGTTCTCCGTTGCAAGGGACCAGGAATACTCAAGTGTCAACAGAAGTGTCCCGCTAAATTTTACGAAAAGGACAAAGTTTGTTTTCCATGCAGTATTAGCTGCAACTCTTGCGACGGTAGTCCCAACAAGTGCAAAACCTGCACGACCGGTTACTTCGAGAAGAATGAAACGTGTGTCACTGATTGTGGTCGAGGCCTTTATCCTGCTGGTAATACATGTCTGAAATGTGACCCGTCGTGCGATAGCTGTGACATGACGCCTGGTAACTGTACATTGTGTCCCGATCGCAAATACAAGAAGGACTCAAAATGTGTGACTGACTGTAGGCCGGGGTTCAAGCCAACCTCCAAACCATTTGTCCGGCTTGCTGGTGAACATGTATCACCGTTTGAAGGACGCGTTGAGGTATTACGTTTCTTGAGGCTCTTGCTCCTCTTAACATCGTAAATCTGAAATCTAGAAGAATAAATAGATTCATTCTTCTTCATATTGTAGGGGCTGCTGGTGATTTAATGTAATTTTTACTGCTGTTTGATTTTTTTGCCAACAGATTTACCACGGAGGCAAGTATGGCAGCATTTGTGATGACTTCTGGGATATCAAAGATGCTACCGTTGTGTGTAGGATGTTAGGGATGGGAAATGCTACAGCTGCTGTTAAACGTGCAAAGTACGGATCATTAGAAAACGGGCCAGTTTGGATGGATGATGTTAACTGCACTGGTAAGAACTGATTACCTCGTTGTCACAGTTGTAAACGTCACGAATACAATTTTAACGAGAGAGTAGGCCGCTTGCAGCGACTTAGTATGGATGTCCTCGGTTACATCTCTTTGTTGCTTTAAAAATGTTTGCGTACCCTGAAACAAGATAACATTAAAAGATATCTTGTTCTGGTTTTAGGAAACGAGCTCTCTTTGATTGACTGTGGGTTCAATGGATGGGGTAATGAAGATTGTACACACTCTGAAGATGCGGGAGTTGTTTGTCAGCGTCCCGATAACACTAGAGATTGTCTCTCAACCTGTGATCTCAATAACGGATACTTCTTGGACGAAAGCAATGGGTGTGGTAAATGCAGTAGTGAATGCAAAACCTGCTCTGGTACTCCCGAAAATTGCACGACATGTCCACCAAATACTTTCCTTAACATGACAGGTAACATGACGTTCAACTGCGCCTCTTCATGCATAGAGCGTTACTTTCCTGATCCTCTCACTAAACACTGCATGCCATGTGACACAGAGTGTCATGACTGTCAAGGCCGTAAAGATAATTGCACTGCTTGTGAAGGGAAATTTCTTCAAAGCTCAAAATGTGTTGATAGATGCTCAGAAAATCAGATTACTTTGAAAGGCGTCACTGATATTCGTTTGGCCGGTGCAAATTCAACAGTGGAAGGGAGGGTGGAGGTTCTTTATGACGGAATATGGGGAACCATTTGTGACGATTCGTTTGACATCATGGACGCTAAAGTGATTTGCAGACAGCTAAAGCTTGGAAAAGCAGTCGAAGCTCTCGGGAGGGCGAAGTATGGAATGGGAATCGGGCAGATTTGGATTGATGATTTGCAATGTGTTGGAACGGAGAGAAATATCCTGGACTGTAACATGAAAGCTGGTAAGTACACGTGTATCTCGGGTAAGTACTTTCTAAATTTCATCAAAACAAGAGCATTCACCTTTGATTTTAGTAACTGATATATGTGCACGTACTCTTCCCTCTGCAGAGGCTTAAGGGAGTCATGATTTTCGATTGCGTTGAAACGAGTCTTACAAACGAAAATCTGAATTCAGTTTTAGTGCAAAAAAAGACATCATCATAATAAAATAACTCTCTTAATCTCCCTGTAGCTCTGTTCATAAAAATCCTGGCCGAGTTTCACGCGGAACTCTCATTGGACATTCATGTGTTTTCGCGATCACCTGCCTCAAGATGATTCAAATCTACCTTTTTTGAAATTTCTGTTGTCCTTACGTTGTTGTTTTTTTTATTCAGGGGGGATTGGAAGTCATAACTGCAGACATTCGGAGGACGCAGGAGTCAAATGCTCAGGTCCAGACATGTCTAAGAAATGTGTTACATCATGTGGTGCTGGTTTCTTCAAAGGAAAGAACAAGGAATGCGAGCGATGCGCAGTGAAATGTAAAACTTGTAATGGATCAGCGTCTTCTTGTACCAGCTGTGATCCTCCGCACTTCTACATTTCTTCGGATTGTGTCAGAAAATGTCCGCTTGGTTTGTATGGTGACACTAAGGATCGCTTGTGTAAGCCTTGTGATAAAGTGTGCCAGACGTGTTCAGATGGTGAGACTGGGGATAAATGTCGTTCTTGTCCAAATGGATTGTTCCTTAGTGAGTGTTAACCTACTTGTTAACTCACCAAACTGTAACTTTGTAACTTACAGTGACAAGATATGTGACTCAACCAACTTGTTACAGCACGGCTCCTTTTTGGTAAAGATGTAAAAAGCAAAGGCTTTTGTAAGGCTGACACAGTGTGATGTATTTTTGATTGTCAATCATTTCGACAGACCTAATAACACTTTTTCAGTCTCAGAATTTACAAGCTTAAGGTAGCCCCAGCATTGAACAGTGTTCCCTTATGACATCATGACTCCCCTCTGATCATTTTGTATTCACAGATGGCAGTGCTTGTGTCAAGGACTGCGGTGACCTCCGTTCTGTGTCATCATTATTCTTGCCAAAGACGTCAGAGCCAGTGGTCAGATTAGTAAATAAAAAAGGAAACAAAGGACAGGGACGCGTAGAGGTGCTGTATGAGGGAGTATGGGGAACAGTCTGCGATGATGGTTGGGACATGAACGACGCTAACGTTGTTTGCAAAGAGCTTGGTTTTGGGAAGGCGAAAGAAGCTACGAAACATTCAAGCTTTGGAAAGGGTAGGTCTGTGTTTTACTTGGCTAAACCTGATTTAGACTTTGATATATATATATATATATATGTACATATATATATATATGTACATATACATATATATATAAGAGCAGAAATGTAATGGTCAAGAGGCCAACTCCAATGTAGCTTTGTTGGTTTATTAGCTGGACGTTTCGACCGTCTCGGTCTTCCTCAGGACGGTCGAAACGTCGAGCTAATAAACCAACAAAGCTACATCGGAGTTGGCCTCTTGACCATTGTTACGAGGATCGAATTATTTTTACTGAATCTGTCACGCAATCCCAGACTTTTCTAGAATTATCTATAATCTGTAATATTCCAGAAACTTCTTTCATGTGACTCAGCAGTTTCCAAAAATAGTACAACTTGTAATACGCTATAAATAGTAATAGAACATTCTAGATAACTAAAGTAAATGTATAAAAGCTGGCTTGTGAGAAGTACAAAAGAGATTTGCCCGAGGGCTTACCCTCGTGGCTTGATGACTGAACTTGTGGAAGCTATGATATGACGAGGCTATGACCTTTTGACCTTGCGATATCCGGAGAGAAGAAAGAGAAGAAAAAGACGATAGCCGAGAGAGGAAGGAGATAAAGAATTTAGAGTTCACTGTGAAGTCCTCCGGAAGAATTTGTGTACACTGAGAGAAAGCCATGAATAAAGAAAGCCAAGCGCTGTGGTCTTCAGTCGGCGGATGTTGGAATTAGAAGTTGATCAAGACAACGAACACTTACACGGCATGAAGGATTGTAAGCCTGCTTTATGAACTGCTTAACTTAATCTTTAACCCAAGTAAATTAAACAATGTAATTCTAATTAAATAATAGTTAAAATGGGTAACTGCTTGTTGTTGCATTTTTGTTGCGTGCCATATATCGTACTCGGGAGTCTATTTTTATGTATGCTTTGTTGGCGGACATTTGTTGGTCATTCGTGCACGTAACACTGCCTTTTCCTTGTTTCCACTTAAAAGGAATTGGAATTATCTGGATGGATAACGTGAATTGTCTCGGTTATGAGTCTTCACTTACCCACTGTCGTCACGTTGGCTGGGGTGAAGGTAACTGTGATCCGAACCACGCAGAAGACGCAGGTGTGATCTGTGATAATACGACTGTGGAAGAACTAAGCAATAACTTTTGTAGAGAGGTCAACGATGGTTCATGTGCTGATCTTAAGGTATTTATCTCTAATCACCGAAGACAGACCACCTAATTCAAAACTTTTGACAGAGCTCGCTTAAACCATTTACAACGAAAAGTTTTCTTCCTAACTTCAAAGCGAACTATTGATTAACGAATGTGACAGATTTTCTCTTTTTTCCTCTCCTTCTTTTTAAGTTGTGTGACAGTCACGCAGGAGTAACGTGTGTGGACTTGGACCTCTACAATCAAAAAGGAGAGGAAGAATCCGTGTGTATGAGATGTCCAAATGGTTACACAGGTGATGGACAGAAATGTAGAGGTATTCAGTGCGATCATAGTCTTCTATTTATGTCATATGTCAATTTTTGTCTGACATTTGTTCAGAGCCTTAATTGACGTGATAATTAGATAACACGGGCGGGGTAGTCGGCCATTGTGATCGGTGCTCTGGTCATGCAACATTTGAAAAAAGCATCCATGTGATTCAAACAAACCTTATGAAACTAATTTCCATAAGTTTTTCGTAATTACTTTCTAGTTATTGCCTCTAATCCTCCTATATTTGACAAGAAGCCAATCAAGTTGGAAAACGTGAAATTTCAAGATGCGTTTAGCCTACAGTGTTCCTCCTTGCCTCCAGTGGTATATCCGTCCGCGTGGGACTGGAGGAGAGATGGGAAGCCACTCTCCGTCGATGACATAAGATCCAGGAGGATTACTTCTAAATCTGGGACTTTGGTAGTGAGGTCTGCTGTTGCAGAGGATACTGGAAACTACACATGTGTGTTAGTTAACAGTGCCGGATCAGTCGAGAGTGATCCGGTGATGGTTGTTGTTGAAGGTTTGTTCATGTCTTCGGGCCATGTTGTGGGAATCCCATCCCCTAAACTGAAACAAAAATTTAAGCTCAGGTGGGCTTTGAACAGTATAGAACCCTTGCAGAGATATATGGGCAGAAGAGCCCCCAAGGGGGAGCTATGCATATATGTATGTATGTATGTATGTATGTATGTATGTATGTATGTATATATGTATGTATATATGGTTTGTATATATGTATGTAAGTTAAAGTGTGTAGGTAGAAATAAAAACATTAGGTGAGAAATATAAATAAAAACATTATTGGGTGTATAATAGAAGAGGAGTAAAGAAAAGAGAAAAACACATATCTTCCTTTCCTTCTAGTCCCTCCCCAGATCCCTGGCGTTGTATCAGCCGACGTTACCGAGGGCAAAGACGCAATTCTGGCTTGTTTAGTATCCAGCTCTCCACCGTCAAACATCACATGGCGATACAAGGACAAAATCATTGGCTCGGACAACAGTAAATTCAACGTCAACGATAGAAACTTTTCTCTTCAGATAAAAGACGTAACATTTGAGGACGCTGGGGACTATGAGTGCGAAGCTATGAATGAGTTAGGATCAGCAGTGGCTTATGCAAAACTTGAAGTGGGATGTGAGTAGTATGGTCTGCGGTTGGGTATCACTTATTGATTGATTAATTAATCGACTGACTGACTATTTGGAAAATGAATAAAGAGGGTAAGTTTCTAAAGAAACTGGGGTGCTGCGTCGGAGGGGGTAACATGGTAATTTGGTTTTATCAACTGAGTAGCTACCGTAAATTGGCCACCATAATGAGTTTAAAAGCTGACGTTTCGAGCATTAGCCCTTCGTCAGAGCTAATGGCGAAGGGCTAACGCTCGAAACGTCAGCTTTTAAACCCATTAAGGTGGCCAATTTACATTATCAACTCAGCTGATAAAACAAACAAATAACATCTGTAAAACTGCCTTTTTCCACCTTCGTAACATAGCTAAAGTTAGAAAGTTCCTTTCGCACTGTCAGTGTGAAATACTTATTCATGCCTTTATTTCGTCGAAGTTGGATTATTGTAACGTTCTTATATCTGGCCTACAGCAGTCACAAATTAATAGACTACAACATGTACAAAATTGAGCTGCCCACCTGCTTGCAGCCACCAGCAGATATGATCACGTTACGCCTATACTTAGAAGCTTACATTAGCTGCCTGTGTCCGCCCGTATTGATTTTAAGACACTTTTTCTCGTTTTTAAAGTATTAAATGGCCTGAGTCCTCTGTGTCTTAGTGAACTGTTAGGACCGTAAATTCCTAATAGAAACCTAAGATCTTCTAAGAAAAAAACTCTTAATAGTACCTAAATGCAATCTTAAAACATATGGATAAAGAGCGTTCTCTCATAGAGCTCCTACTCTGTGGAACACCTTGCCGGATGATATTAGGCAGGCGGACCTTTTAACAACATTTAAGTCTAAAGTTAAAACCCATTTATTTAGGCAGTTGTAGTTTTTGCTCTCATTGATTTTTCACTATTTTTTTAATTCACTTTAATTCTTAGTTGATTATATTTTTCTATCACTATCATTGTAGAGCGCCGCTGGATCTTTGAGAAGCGTTGCGCCATATAAGTTATGTATTGTATTGTATTGTGTAAAACCAAATTACCTGATTATTTGGCAGACTGACTATTTCCATGTCAACTGACTGATTGACTGATTTATCGATTGACAATCTGATCGACATACTTATCGATGATGGCACTACAGCACTATGAGCTGAATTGCCTAAGCCAACCAGTCGATAGAGATCACAAGTTTTGTGACTAATTTTCACGTCTTTCAGTGACACTTAAATACACCAACTTCATATCAGAGGCAAAGGTAAAAAAACGGGGCCAAGATGTCACACTACCATGCGTTGTGAGAGCTCGTCCTCTTCCAAATATGGCATGGAAAAAGGATGGAGTACTGGTAACGAATGATGATCGTCATGTGGTCACTCAAAAGGAGCTGACAATACGTAAACTTACCTCAACGGACATGGGAAGGTATTACTGTATAGCCTGGAATAAACGAAGTGTACAGGCCAGGGAAGCTCTCTTGTTTGTAACAGGTACGCATTTGAACAAAGTAGCTAGTAGCTAGACACTTCGAGATGTTCAGCAAATTAAGCCTTTAGACGTGAGCCGGAGATATTAGATGACCATGGGCTTGTCACATGATACGCCAAGAGTCGACTGTCATGATATGAAGCGACTTGAAATATGATATTGTGCCCTGGATGGTACTTGCAGGGTTGCTGGCTATTCCCTGGTAACCCCCAAAATGAGAAATTTCTGGTACCCCTGAACATGTTAATTAAGAGTGGAAAGATAAATTGTCAGTAACAGAGACACAATTATCTCTCCGAGGATGACCCGTGGGTCCTTTGTTCGCTCTCTGTGGTTTAACAGTTACTCCACCTTGTTGTACATTCCGGATGACTAGCAATATATTTTATCTTTTCTCTAAACATAGTTCTACGTCTTATTTTCAAAGCAAACATAAATTTAATTTATTTTTCCAACTCATTAATAATTCTTCTAGGGCCTCCGATAATCGACATGTCTCCAGAGGATCAGGATGTTCTCTCTGGAGCCAACGTATCTTTGTACTGTGGAGGATATGGTGATCCTCCTCCGAAGATTATTTGGCAAAAAAATTCCGTGAACGTCGAGACGTCAGGCAGAATTAAAATTGATCCCGTCCAGGGATCAGGAGAGCTTCAGATCATATCAGTGACTGTCGAAGATGCGGGAAAGTATGAATGTATTTACAAAAATAGTTTTGGTGAGGACAGGAGAGAGGCGTCACTTACCGTGGACGGGCAAACGGGAACAGGTAAGTAGCAAAGTATGCTGCAGCTTTCAATGAAAGATCTGTCTGCTATTATAGTTTATGAAAACGAAATGGCAACCCCAAAAAAGACAACTTTGCCCTTTAATTATCAATTCAGGCAAAGTTTTATAAATACAGGCGAGGCATGAGAGACTTTGGACTTTGGCGACTTCCAAAATGATCCAGATCACAGATGGTATATTTGAATATAAAGAAAGACTGAGGGCCTACTGAGCATGCGTCTCCTGAGTTTGCAACGAGTTAATGGGTTAAAGGGGGATCAGGTCGTCTCCCATAAATTTACCACCCCGAGTGTGTGCTGGTTATTTACATTCGACCTAGGGGTTAACCCACAGGGTGTGGTTGCTCTCCTCTTGGAAAAAGAATCAGACCATTGACCATTTAATCCGTAAAGGAAGTGTTGTACGCTAATTCCTAGTTGATAGTCGTGATTGCCAGAAAGATCAGAGCTGCCAAAGTTTCATAAGCTTTTAAGAAGTGGGGAAGTGTTTTCAACAATCTTCTTGTGTTTCATATTTAAGAATCAAAAACGAAGGCATCAAAAGGTCTGAGCACCGGAGCAGTGGTGGGGATAGTTATTGCCCTTGCCCTCGTCAGTCTCCTCGTTATTGTTGCAGTCATCTTGAAGTGTCGAAAGACTTCGTATTACAGAGGAGACAAACTTATGATGAGCAAGCCAACACGGTTCTCTGACTTGAAAACGAAAGTTGTATCATCTTTTGGCAAGGAAACAAGAGCAGAACCCTTAGAGGAGGAAGACATCGATTTATGAAGCGACTAAGAAACAAAAACACTGTAAACTAGAAACTGTTTCCTTGTAGTAGAATTGATAGAGTAACAGCTTAGTATAGGTATCATGTAAGGTCTCAGGTTTTAGAAGACATAAATAAGCTTGTGAATTGAACAGTATGCCCAACTCAACATAGAGCAATGTAAACAAATTATTTTCTGGTGGAAACACGCTTTTTAATGTTAAATGTCCTCTGATAACTAGGGTTAGTTCCTAATCCATTGCAATAAAATAAATTCTTAGTATGCATAAACAGCTTTCAGCTCGTCTGTAGGATCAAGAGATTGATCAAAGTAGGCGTCCTAACCTTACCACTGTAGCGTGACATACTGTGCATGTGACAGCTTAGTCACCAGGTCTCGGGTTTTTGACACAACAACAGTAGTCGGACCGTGTGCTGGCTTGACAAGTGCTGGTTAAACATATTCTGTTGCTGTTATTGAATGTTGGAGGTTTATTCGTTTATGAAACGCGACAACCACAGAAAAACATAAGATTCCCTTTATTTTTAACACCGTAGTGTAGTCAAGAGTCAGGACAATATTCATTAATTAGGCTTCAGTTGCACCGTAAGTGACCCAAATAAACTGAAAGCTTCTCAACATGACGTGGTACAACTTGCTGACTGACAAGGAGCCATTCTTGATAATCCTCGGTATCCTCGACAGCTGTAGCTGAGAGAGGCAGTTATCTGTATCGTTTGTGGATGATGTGGATTGTATCTGTATCTGTTGTCAGGTTGTTAGTCTTTACAGTGATACAATCCATATCATCCACAAACGAGACAGATGACTGCCTCCCTCAGCTACAGTAATCTAAACTGCGTCTACAGTAGATGAAGCTATCCACGCTGATTGCATTTTGTACAGCTATCCAAACTATCTACAATTTATGCAACTATCTACAGTGAGTACAGTCATCTGCACCGTCTACATAAGATGCTACTACCTACACCATCCTTTAATACTTCACTCATCTATCGTCACAGCCTACGGACGGAATCTACTGAGCTTTCCACGCTAAATATGGTTTTCTCAGCTATCTTCCATGTCTGCAGTAGATACAGCTGTCTATGTCGCCTAACGTAAATATTTTTATATACATATGCATATACATATGAGTGTAGTGTAAGGTACGTATTTTTCTGTTCTTGCCGGCATGAAATCTACTACTTCTTTGTTTCTTTCCTTCCCGCCGAGGTCAGCGGTTTACCAGCTGAAACTAAGAATCATGAAATTTTGCTTCATTGAGAAATTCTCTGCGTTGTGAGCCAGCGTTTTTTTTCTCTGATTGCAAACTAGAAAAACTTAACTTTAAATGAGTGATTTCCTAACACGCTGCAGGGATTATTACCGGGTTGGATTTACGCAGAATGTAGGTATCGTAATATTATTGAAATCAGAACATGAATCTTTACTGTTCGCTAAAATTATACTGGGTGATTCGGACTTGGTATTTTAGGAACAAATCTTTTCACTTTGAATTAATTGAATATTATAATTGGCAGGAAAAGGAATGGTTGCGGACGTTTTATTATGATATAGAAAAATGTATCCGACAAAATGAAAGCGAAGCGGAGTTCGTCGAAGTATGTCTGGCTGTGTTGCATCAGATAAGAGATTTACGCTGTGTCAAGGATACAGAGGATTATCAAGAATGGCTTCCTGTCAGTCAGCAAGTTGTACCACTTGATACACTACTTAGAGAAAGCAGCGATGTTTGTGGAGGTTCTCTCTGTAGTCAATCAGAAGAAGAAAGTTCGATTCCAGGTTGGTAAAAAAATGTACCTCGTCTGTTCGAGAAAAGAGGGGTGGAGTGGGGGGGAGGGGGCATGTAGGCTATTGTCTATTTACTGATTCGGACACAAAATGTATTGGCTGTGTTTACATCTTGTTTGGGTGCAGACAAAGTTCTTTTCATTTTCTTGTTCTGAAATTCTTGTAATTAACTCTATTTTGTAGTTAGTAATGCATATTCTTTATTGCAGAATACAAGCATGCTTGTAAATTGCCTTTTATCCTCTTGGGATATTTGACTTCACAACCCAAGTCTTCCAAATCTGGAAAAGCTTTAGGCACTCTGTACCTAGAGGATAATTTTGCAGCGATTGTTTGTGAGGTGGGAGTTGATTTTGGATTTTTAATTATTGTGTTGCAGTATTACTGTAGGTAATTAACCTCATGAGTGAAAAGTTTGACAACTCATGCTGCTGGCTCCTCTGTAATTTGACATTTAAAATTTAATTCTTGTAGATAATAAATCCCAACAAGGACTACCTTGAGAGACTATTACTCATTCCTCAGTGGAATTATGTTCCCCTGTCATCTTCATCAGCAGTTAGGGAAGGTGAGGTTGACCATAATTTAATATTGTCACTGATTATCTTGTAGCAGATCATACACTCTTTAGGTGACCTCATTGGTCAATGCAATCTATTTTAGTTTATGGTTTATGTAGATCAGTTAGTGGATGTAGTGTAGTTAGCAGACAGTTCACCTGAAGAGGTTCAATAGTTTGCCAATAGGTGGCTCATAGTTAACTGCTGGTTGACCACTTATAATGCCTTGATGTTCCTGAGGCTGCCCAAGATTGGGCTGGGATGGCAGCTGGCTTATAATATTAAAATGTCAGTATACCATTGGTTGACCTTCAGTATATCAGTGTATGCTCTCATTGGACAGTTGCAGGCGTGAAAATCAGCAAAAAGTGAGCATAGATATCTACTTTTTATACAATTTGTCCCTGATGTGTTGAAATTTTGATTTTAACTTTGTTGTATTTGTGTTTGTTTGTCAGATGTAAAGGATAGTAATGGAGGTTACCTTGAGATCATCAGCATAGGCACACCAATTGTAGTTACAAAAACAAGTGAACCTGATGACAATTTCTCCACAAGTTATGTTTTCAGCATCAAAGAGTTTCAGGAACAAGGGAGGTACTGTACCTAATTGTAATGTAGGCTGGCAGTTCCTTGATTATTTAGAGAATTGTAGACACTTCATCATCTCATCTTTTTAAGTATGTTTACCAATTATTTAAATTAATAAAGGTCGGAGTTTAAATAAGATGCTGGTTGAAATGGCAGTAAATGTAGTGAATGATGCATTTGCGGCACCTGTATTTAATTAACCATTTCACTCTCAAGTTTTCATTGATAATTCTCCTTACTGTTAGCTTTAATATTCTTATGATGTTAGTTTGGAGAATTTGGTATTGAATCAACTAATAATCCCCTAATTGATATTTTTCTTTATTCTCACCACTTATCTGCTTGCAGTTATATTGATATTGTTGGGAGAAATTCTGTCTTGGTCACTGATGGGTGTAAAGGGTTAGGGAGAACTTTGTAAATCAAGCCAGTAGAATAATAAATGCTGCAATACAGAGGTATGAAAGGAAGGAGCTGTACTAAGTCAGATGCAAAAGTTTATTTTGCATTGATTTTTGCTGAAGATTTTTTTTCTACACAGTTCAACAGTCAACTTGAATATGCAAGGATCCATTTTCACTTTGAGCCCAATTCACAGGTAAATTTGTCCAGTCTAGTTGCGAATTCCAATTTTTTGTTGTTGGTATATTGCCAATAAGTAATTTGATGTTATGGTGAAGTTGTCATCTTCAACATTCATCTTATTCTTCAACTCTCTATTTGATGGTCTCTGATAGTGATTGTTTGCTGGCCTGATCAAATATTTTATTATAGTTTACTAATAATAAATTTTTCCTTGAAGCATGAGTGTTGGTAAGCCTTTCTTTCTGGTCAAAATTTCCTGTGCTGAGACAAGCCTTACCACTTCCATAGTGATTCAGGTATAGTAAGTTTACCCTTTTCTCTTTTCCATAGAGGTTCCAAGAGAGGAGGGGAAGGGGGAGTGGAGCTTGTTCATTACAAAATCATTACAAAACACAGGGAATCGGTTATTTTTCATATTTTTGACACATTCTGCATTGACATGTAAAGAGATGCTGTTTTAGCTCCCTTCCCGTATTGATAATTTGGATCTAACGTAAACCTTCTTTGCAGACTTTATACAGAATGAATTGAACTGTTAATACCTTATTTGATGGGAATTTTCTTTCAGGGTGAACAGTTTATGTTCTGGCACAATTTCCTTCAAATCAATGAGCATTATGTTTTCCATAACCTAAGAGAGACTACAATGAACAAGGTAAATTTGAAATGTAAGAATGAACTTTGAATATGTTTTTTTTTTTTCTCGCAATACGAAGCCGTGGGGTCTATCAATGATCCTGCACGAATACTATCGTTATTGAACATTTATGCGTGAAAGTCTCCCCCATAACAAATGAAAGCTCACTTTAGAGACGGAAGTTTAGAAGAACCTTCACTTAGGGAACATCAGGGGGACTTATTTCTTGTACGATTAAGCTACGTTAAATGTACATCAGAGGAACGTTAATTAGGGGACAGCTTAAGGACTCGAAAAAGTGTCTCTTTCCTTTATTATTAATAGTTAATAGATACAAATGTTGAAGTGGCTACTTCCTTTATTCGAGACCGAAGAGACCCAAGAGTTATTCCTTGAATAGAATGAATAATAGCGTAATGCACAAGGGAGAAGTCCCGGTATTCAATGTGCCGCCTGAACTGTGCCCTGCAGGGAACTCAAAATGAAAGAAAGATCCTTGCCACAACGCGTCGATCAGACTTGCGGAAATACCGACCAAGAGGCGTGAAACGAGTTCATGAAGACGAACAGGTGCGAAATAGCGTTCTAATTTGAATTGAACAAGATTATGATGGTGAAAGAAATTGAATGGCAAAGAAGTAGTAAAAGTAGCTCTATTGTTTGATTTCAACAGTTGAAAGCTACAAAGCTGTAGTATTCATCCAGACTAATAAACCAAGGTTGTGTAATATAAACGCCAATACGGTAACTTTTCAGAGAGAGTCAAAGCGCCCAAGAATCTCAAAGGAAAAAGATGAGGTCTTGAATCAGCGTAGAATATTTCCAAGTCATAAAGGCTACTTGAGATGTGCAGGGACCAACCGGGCAGAGGCAACAGTATTACAGCTTGGAAAACCAAAGCTACCGGTCAACATTACCTACACGGTAAGTGATGCCCTGACAATTGCCCTCTTCACTTAAATTTCTGAAACGATAATTTTCATGGAAATCTGACTTTGTCATTCCCTAAGGTGTTTTCATAGGAATATTAGTAGCAGGCAAAGAATAAATGAAAACAGATAGGAGACGTAAGGCAAAATAGGAACGCCCTTCATTCAAGAAGTTTTAACATTTGTACCATCTTTCCGCTGAAGTTTTGTTCAAAAATTTATTTCAGGGCGTTATTACAAGATGCATCAACCGTGAAGCTGGAGTTTTTGAACTGGACAATAAAATAAGGTAAAAGATCCTTCAATTGGCTTTAGTTCTCGAAAAGCTTATTGAAGTCTGTTATATTGCGTTGCTGCAATGTCCTTGTAATCTTATGAAACACCAATGCATAGCAATAAGTAAACTTTTCAGTTGGGCGATTTTTGCTTTATGCTTTAGTTTGTACATTAGTCACCAGCCTTCTGCGAATTGTGGTCGCGGTCTGCGTGTTGGGGCACACGTGACTGCTTACAATGTACACTTGTGCAAGAAAGGGAAGGTAGGTTGTTTCATTTGACTTTGTAATATTTTATTGGATCATGATTATTAACCTTGCAAATGTTTTTTTTTTATAAAGATGACGGCCTGAATAATGAATTGCACCAGTTACACTCGGTGAATTTTTCTAATTTTTCGTACCATTGTAGAAAACCCTTGGCATGTGCTGCTGCACACAAAGTACAGTGCGGGTGGTAAAGTTCTCACTTCTAGCTTCACCTTGGAAGGTACATGAAAATATTCAATGAGTAACTTTAATTTAAGTCTTATACCTTCAATTTCCATGGAGACAATTACCTAACTTTTCATTTTGCTCGTTATATAGCCGTTTAACCCATGTGAGAGTCCCTTGGCTTTACTTGGACAGAATCTCACTTTGGCTGATTATGTGGACCTACTCGAGATGTGCCAAAATGTTCTGGATAAATTCTCAGCACTATTCAGGTAGTACTTTTTCATATCGAGCGTTTGCGTTTAAAGTCCATTAGTTATGTAAAAAACAAGTGACTAGAAATCATATGCGACGGGACGCTATTTCAGAGAGAAAATGCGAAGCTTAGATTTTAGAAGGAAATGCAACAAAACTTGCTCCAACTTTTATCGCCCGGAGAAAACATTAAAATGTTTGGTCTTTTTTTTGTAGGACAAGGCAGCTTGTCGCTTACTCTGTAAAACAGAGCAGGTAGGTGTTCTTTCGATTTTATTTTAGACCGGGAGCTGTAAGGACGATTTGTCGAATGTAACGGAGTCAGAAAGGATTTTGTGATAAAAGGCAACTTTTTTTCTGCTAATGTCGGATTGTTTTATTTAGTGCGTTACCTTTTAATTTGCAGCTCATAACTTTAGAATGTAAAGTCGACCTTCCAAATTCGTGCGAGAAGGAGTATACAGACGGCGTTTAAGATGTTTAAAGATTGTACTTAAGGTTGTATTCGGTGTAGGCTACTTTGTGGAATAGTAATATTCCTGACGATGTTTTTATTCTCTCCTCTGTTGTGCAATGCAATACGTTTTACAGAAAAGTAAAAGAAGATTTGGCGAAAGAAAGTGTATTGGAATTGTTGCTTTCCTTCGTAAAATGCAACTCAGTTACTATGAATATTCCATCAAGAAACATCTATGACGAGTTCTTCGAGGTACCGCATGAATGCCACCCAAATCAGACCAGTCCACTGACCTTCCCGTGGCTCCCTACAATCAAAGAGTTCCTTGATGCTGTAAGTCAGATAAGCTGTGATGAGCCTTGGCTGAGTGGACTGCCTGGTCAAACAACTACATTTACACAGGAAGAGTGGACGTACAAAATTTTGAGTCAAGAAAGCTTCAGTCGTCCATTGGTAAGAAATCATTGTAGGAGACTGTGAGCCAACAGTCTCTCCTTTCCAAGAGGTCTTTTGAAACCTGGAATTTTGTTTTGCTTTGGAACGTTTACGCAAAACATCTTTGCTTCCATTAGCTATTAGCTTATTTGTTGCAGTCTCTAATACCGTTTTCTTTTTGTTCGTAGATTCTGGTTGGTTGTCTCGGTTACTCTTCAAACGCTGGCCAATTGCGCTTACTTGATCAAACGGGAGAAATCAACTGCATGATCGCACCTAAAGACGAAAATCCCACGGAACATGATTGCGCTAAAAACTGCTGTGAGAAAGCTACTATCAAAGAGCAGTGTTCACGATGTCCCTTTTCACAAACCCGGAGTTTGAGTGCAATGATTCAAATTAACAAGTTTGAGGTAGTTGTGGAGAAATTTCACTCTAGAGGTCTTGTTCAGGAAGATTTGGATAGAGATAGAAATCGATTATACGTGCAGTTCTCCTTTGATGATACGGAAATCTTGATTCCTAAACACGAGAGTAAAGTGGAGAAATATTGTACAAAAAGGACAAATAGATTTGAAGCAGGCACAACGGATGCAAACTTAGAAAGAGAGCTCAACGGAAATCTTGAAAGTAAAAGTGACTGCTTTGTATGTAAGGTTATTTTTATGGTTAGGAACTGCGAAGTGCCAATGCTTCGACGATTGAGAGAGGAAGTTTGCTATCCTTGTGGTGTTGAAATAAAAGTCGTCGCTGTTTATAAAAGTATAACTCAAGACGTGTCTGTAACTAACGATGAGACTTCAGAAGAAGTTCTTCCCTGCGGTTCAAATTTGCCGAAGCTTCTCTCGGACTTCAAGCTTCAGGAAAAGAACGCAGCTCTAAAACTTGAGAAGAAAAGCTTGTACTTGGCCCACGTTCTTCATCCGGGATGCTTCTACGTCATGACCGAGATAGTCCCTGATGAGAAACAGTCCCGTCTGATACAAAATGGAGACTTACAAGTACTGATAAGTGTTAGCTCTGATGTGCTTTTGGAGAGAATCTGCTGGTGTGAAAGATGTGACTCAAACTCGCCAAAGGAGACAGAAAGCAGCTGTGATATTATCAAGGCACTTACTGATTTGAAGGAAGATTTCTTGAAGAATGATACCCTGTTAAGTGTGGACTCTGTTCTTGGTGAAGGAACCCTTACAGGGGTGACCGGAAACGAGACGTCTCTGAAGCAAAGGTTTGAAAATAGTCTTTTTGTGAATAGCTAACGGCTTTTATTGTTAATGCAGCGTAGCTACTGTACACTGTACCACACGCACATCAACACTGTCAGTGACTGTGCTTATTGATTTTCAGCAATGATTTCTCAGCTGCCGTTTGACGTTATGTGTTAGATTAACCATGGATTTTCAGACAGAGAACGCGCATTTAATTTTTTCTCAGTACTCTGTCTTTCTGTTACTCTTCCAAGCCGTCCCTCCAGTACGCAAGTTAGTTTCCATGGTCTGATTATTAGCCGAGATCTGCGCCAGTCAGACTGTCCCAGTCAGCGGCTTCCTAATGATCTAGTGGAACTGCCTAAGTTTGGTCCAGTCAAGATGTCAGTCATAAAAGATCTACAGCTAGGCTTTACTCTGCTCGGAAACAAGATTATTCAGCTGAGAGTGCGTGACCTGGATTCACCAAATACCATATCTGTTTACCTGGACTTCAGAAAAACCTCTTATATTGATGGAATTTTACCTGGCAAGTATTATACCGAAAAATGATTTTCCTTTTTTGATATGAAGGAAGCATGGAAAATCCCTCATGTTGTCTCTTTTTGTTGATTCTTAGTTTGTTGTAGGCCTCAAGCAGAAAAGCTTCTAAAGAGTTGAAAGACAAATGCTTGTTAGGCAAAGTCTTGAGTGCATTTTTCTTGAACATATGTATTGAGTAGTGGCTGCATCACTTTTGAATCTTGGAAATTGTCGGAGACATTCGGCTATCTTTGCCGTGAAATTAAAAGATCTCGTTTGTCCTATTGTTATCATCAGGTGCCATTGTCCGATTCCGAAGGTTGGTGAGAAAATTCTCCCGAACCAGAAACATGTATTGCACATTTGAGGCGTGTTCTTCGATTTTCGTGAAAAGACGAGCAGCAAAGAACTTAACCAGCATCCAGCCGACACCACAATTTTCATTCAGCATAGCAGCATCTTCATCTAATGAAGCGCTCACCAAAGAACTTCCAAATCAATGTCTCATCAGACTCATTCAGAGCGAAGCACAAGGGAGATTTGTTCAAACCATTTCACGTGTGCGTTGCCGAGTAATAGCTGTGCAGAGAGCTAGCCTGCGGTGGCTTTGTAAACGGTGCGGTGAACTGGTAGCTAGGAACGAGTGTGCCGCTTGTTGCTTTTCTTCCCCCGGATACAAGCTTAATGCCGAAGCCAGGTAACATTGCTCGTCTTATCAGAGTACTTTATAGAGCTTTCGAGGTCGGCAAAAATTGAACTTTCTAATGGTCCTTTAGGCCTCTCATTGGAAAGGAAAATTTTAACGAAGACCGTTTTGTTCGCAAGGTTTGAAAATTTGGCAAATATCACTAGTGGAATAAATATATCTTAGTAGACGTTTTGTTGTGTAGTATCGCTGAGTGTTTTTACGAGTTGTGTCGTATTTGGACGATCCCGTAGGGTGAGTCAAAATACAAATAACGATTTAAAATACTCAGCGATACTACACAACAAAACGTCCAATAAGATATATTTATTATCCAAATGTGCATCGTAGAGTACAAATAACGCGCGAGACGAGTACAAGTATCACGCGATATTTGTACTCCAGAAATATCCGCGAAATTCGCCCTCACTGAAATAACAATGTGGCCTGTTGGATAATAATTATCTTATTAAACGTTTTGTTGAGTAGTATCGCTAAGTATTTTTACGAGTTGTGGCACAACTCGTAAAGCCCGTAGGGCTCGTCAAAATACGGCACAACTCGTAAAAATACTCAGCTATACCACACAACAAAATTTTGGAAGGATTTCAGCCATTGATTCTCTTGCAGATGTGTTGTGGAAGACGGTACAGGCGAAGCCCAGGTCTACGTGTATGACGACCTTGTGCCCACGTTATTGAGACTTTCCGATCAGCAGTGGCATCATCTTCAGGACTTGGCTATGCGCTCTGGCGAGTTACTGTATCAGCGGCAATGGTATGGTGCACGCGGCCGAGTGAAGGTAAAACACTTTTTAGAATACTTCGAAAAAAAAATTGACAAAATGATGGACAGAGTTGACTCCTGTTTTTTTGTTTTGTTTTAAAGACCAACTTGAACGAAGGAAGCTTGTCCAGAGAAACAGAAGCTAAGTTAACGTGGGAGTATCATTGTGTTTCATCCCAGGTCTCACGGCGCATTGTGCTGCAAGGAAAATTGTTTCGCTTCAGGAAGGATGGAGCTAACAACACAGAACAAGGTGAAAAATTTGTGTTGAGATTTGCACCAAAGGAACGAAAACAGAGACAGGACAGCCTTGAAATATTCCTAAATAATTATATTGGTATTAACCAGCGTTTTGATCTGATATTTCTTATTTTTCGTGCAGGCAAGGAGTCCCGTAATATTACTGTGGGTTCCACAGAACACTCTACACTCGTGTTACCTAAACTACTCTTACGAGCTGTGTCTATTGCCGAGGTTCGCGCGACGGAGGAAATTCGACAACTGCTTCAACAAGGACGAGATGGACTTCAGTGAATTTGTTTCAAAGTAAACTACTGATGTCTCGTCAGAGAACAAACTCTAATATCTCTCTAAATTTTACATGAACGAATATCAATTCAACTGAAAAAAGAGCAAGTTTCTAATACTTTAATATGTAAATAACACAATTTCCTTTGGAGCTATGTTTAGTTTCCGTCAAATTATAAGACTCACTTAACTTGGCAATAAATTACTATGAAAATAGGTTTTTTAATTTACAAGGAAATACTGCTTCAACCGCCGAAAACATTTGTTGAATTAGTGTTTACTGTTAGAGTTTGATAAACTCTTCAGTGTTACGTTGCAGTTAGCTTGGACATATCAAGAGTAAAGCGGTCCACATTAAACGGCTTATAGAGTCTGTTAGGCGACAATAAACATTCCACGGCTGTTCGTTTATCGCAATGGCCTACAATCCATTGAAGTCTATCCTGAAATGTACAAAATAAACCAGCTTTAATTTTAACATTCCTGCGATTTCATTAACTGTTTTGAATACAACAGAGAAGGCAGGCTAACAAAGTAGTACAGTAAGGGATTAAACAGTTAGTGTCATCAGACCTTTTCTCTCTCATCGTTGCCCCAAATATACGGTGGTAGTTCAGTGGAGTTTAGAATTGGAAATACACTGTCCATATAGGCCTCCCTGAAGAATCTTCGCATATGTGCTTCGTCTCGCTAGAGAAAAAACCAAACAAAGAGGTGGGAATGAATAGTGAAAAGGAAATTGGACATATAGAAGCAAGCGAGCGTATGGGACAGGAACAACAAGAGCGTGTGATCTTTAAAATAACCAAGGGTCTAGATCAAAGGATAACGGTTGAATGGTTTGCTTTAAAGCTTTCGTTTGACTTACCCTTAAAACACTACTCTCGTAAGCTTCATAGAGCAAAGATAATGAGGGGACTTGAGTTAAACTAACGATAAAGAGATTCCTTTATAACCAATGTTAAGTTGGCGTGACAAAAATGAACAGATTGTTTAAGTGATTGCGACGAGTAGATTGTGCTGCAGTACTTACTCGTTGGGATCGCTTGAGTTCTCGCTTACTTTTCTCGTCCCAGCAGCGCTATACCAAGGAAACAAAATCATTCAACTAAAAGTGAGGATGCATTCGTTTAGACACGAACTTAAAGGCAAGACAAGTCTAAAGCTATAGCATACGTAAGTAAGAGAAGTACTTACCTTGAGTGCATCCATGACATCATGGATAGAAAGAATTTTTGGAAATGTTGATATAACAGGATCCATAATAAAACCTCAAACGAATGATGGGAAAAAAGGACTTCTTAGAAAATGTTACTTGCTTTCTCATGACAGCAATAAAACTACAATAATATTTTAATTCGGAATTTTTTGACATCGAAATGCACAATATTAAGACCAACATCTTTCCCTGTCGGAAAGAGGAAGACAGTGTCAATGTGCAAAGAATTCACCCAAAGATACCTGCATCTTGACTATCCCGTAACTCGTACATAACAATCTCAGTCAGCAATTGGCGGTACAAAGATATGAACTGAGCATATGCGTGACACGTCAGTAAAGTGTCTGGTAACATGCTGCAGAGAGATTTAAAGTAAGCATGTGACTGAGTTTGACTAAATTTGGGTTTCAGCTATTAAGATAGCCGTAAAGTACACTTTTACTCAGTGGTTTGATATGGAATAAAAAAAATGGTCCTTACTCGTAAATGTCTCTTCTTTGACTGGGAAACGAAACGAGTTTTACTGTCAATCGGGGCTGGCGATTGGTTCGCACAACTTGTTGAAAGCGACTGCTGCTGGCTGAAACGACAAAAACGAGTGATAAGGAAAAAAACATTTTATGGTTGGTTACTGCTACATAATTTTAAGCCAAATGCACGAAGAACTGCACCACGTTAATACCATATTTTCGCTGCCAATTAATTTTTAATGATTGATTTTTTAAAAAGGTCTGTGATGACATCACTAATCATAAAAACCTGATAAAACTAATTTTTTTCAGTGTCTGTTAATGACAGGGCTAAACCACAAAAACCAGCCTGTATATGTTAACTGGACCTGTAGAACCTCCCTGTCAGAAACTTTACCTTTTAAACTGACTGAAGGATCCAGGTCGACTCCAGTATCAAACGGTGTTCCACCGTTAAGCTGAATTTCGTAGGTCCTGTAAACAAGGAAAGAAAAGCACGGGTATAACATTGTGTTGTAGTTGAAACTCTCAAGGAAGCAATCACCATATATTACACGAAATGACTGTCTTACTTGTTGGACACCGGTGCTCCGTTTTCTTCAAACAGTTTTATTGCACACCAACCACATGCCACTTCACCTTTCTCACCTGTGGACTATAACAATAAAAAATATCTAGTTTACCATCACTTTTGCGTTTACTTCAATGGGAACAAAACTTCAACAGATTAATACTTACCGTTCTTCTATAAAGTATGTTCAATTCAAAAAGAATTACTGGAAGAAAAGAAATGCACTAAGAATCAGAGATGACAGTAAATCTACGAAATGTTAAAAGTACGAACACACATTCAAAGGAGACGGAAAACCTTGTCAGGTTTGACTCACCGACAGGTGACAAAACCAACACAGCAGCGTGAACTCACCTTGGGAATCGTCATTTGAATTAATACGAGCCAGAATCTCAGAGTCGTAAACACTGGTAGCACACTGCATGTAAAATCAAAATATATAACTATCATACAAGTTGTGCATGTGACATACTGCGGGCAGTTGCAAAATCTCAAAGCGAGAACACTTAGCGGTCGATAAAAGCGCCTAAATCGATGTGCACATACAGGAGATTTAATAGTATTTATTTTTATTCAGTTTACAATCTCCCAGCATTCTGAACTGATTTCTTTGCAAAACGTATTAAAAAAACAAAGCCGATTCGGGGAAATCAATCTAGAATGTTCTTCTACTACATGGAGTTTGCGCATATTACCTTTGGGTTAAAGTTCCATGTCGCCGGATCTTTTTCCGTTGCAGTGGCGCGGACTGAGTGAACGTTACTAAGAGGCTAATGGGACATATCAAAAATAAGTGAACAGTTTTGGCAGCACTCATAGCACCGAGATCAAAATGCGTGACACCATCGCCTGTTTCAATTCAGTGTATACCTGTTTCTTACTGTTCTCCCAAATCACAATCCGCACATGTCGGCTTAGAACTTCAACCCCTAAGAAAAACGATACCAGAGTGGTGAACTCTTTTGTAGATTCAATGAATGAATTTACTGATAACTGAGAAGTTAACTCGTTCTCTTCAAGTTGGTATTGTGAATGGACGTCTTGAAACAGTTCTCATGAAATGAATATGTAACACGGAGAAACACTCAGATGGATAGAGCAGCGTTGTATAGTTTATAAGTAATGAACATAACTGGGTGTGAGTCCAATCTAGGCATCATGTCGCTTGAGTGGGCCTGGGCCTTACCTGATCCTATTGATGGTATCATTCGTGCACTGCTCACTTGAAGGACTCTGTTGGTTTTTGCTGTTCGTGGTCGCAGCTATGAAGGGTAAACAATATCCAGGTTAAATTACTAGTAACGAAAAAGTCAGAACATTTCCTTCTCCAGTAAAATAAAGAATAGAAGAGAAAAAAAGAGAATCTGATCACTCCATCTTACCCAACAGAAAAGGTTCACTCACTCAGCTCCTCAGAGATGGATTGCGGAATGCTATCAGTCACGATGAGATGGGGGTCCTTTCGTTACATCGCTCCTTTACATTAATACCTACGTTTTATCCGTTTTGCTTCAAATAATTGCGAGTTTTGACAACGGAATATTTAAGGTTTTACCTGTTTATTAATGGGATCCCAAGTGATGTCTCTGAATGCCACATTGGACTGGCTTAGTTTCGGCATCGCCCAAGAGCTCGTTTGCCAGGCTTCTAAGCGAGTAAAAGAAAAACAATAGCTTGTAACTTAAAAACAAAATGGCTCAATGATTCCATGCTCTATTTGATATCCATCACAAATATCAACGAGAGCCAGTATACGTTAGTGTAAGTGCTAAGGTAGTTTAGTTCGTTCTTTATTTGATTCCTTCCTACACTAAGTTTAAAGTTCTAAAGCTGGTCTCACCCGTTTTTGTACAGTCATTGACGAGGTTGATTAATTTAATATTGAGGTTGATTAATTTAATATTGAGTGGCTGTTTTCCAACTAAATGGAAACTGGCGCGCGTCACACCTCTCTTTAAAGACGGAGCCCAAGATTGTCGGGACAATTTTAGACCGATCTCTGTGCTCTCCACATAGTCTGAAGTCTGTGAAAAGCACGTTGCTGCCTCCTTTATGGATTACCTTGTGAAAACTGGCTTACTGCATGAATTGCAAACAACTTTTCGCGCAGGGCACTCCGCCGAGTCCGCTCTGATCAGTTTGACTGACCACATTCTCTTCAATCTAGATCAAGACAAGCTTTCTGGTATGGTTTTTGTAGACTTTAGACAAGCGTTTGACGTTGTTGATCATCAATTGCTTCCAACGAAACTGCGCCTGTGGAGAGTGAGTGATCCTTCGCTGTCATGGTTTGAATCATATCTTTCTGGTCGCCAACAGTTTGTCAGTATTGATAGTCAAAGATCAGACTCTCTACTTATCAAGCGGGGGGTACCGCAAGGAAATGTCATAGGTCCCACACTGTTTTTGTTATTTGTGAATGACATTCCATTACATCTAACAAATTCAACGATGCATATTTACGCTGACGACACTACAATAACCGCAGGTGCGCATTTCTCGGATCTATGCTCGATGACCCAACTTTTAAATTCCAATCTTGATGCGGTTCAAAGATGGGCGTCTTGCAACAAAATGTTCATCAACAAGAAAAAAACAAAAGTCCCTTTTAGTGCACGGAAAGCGCTTTCCTGCTAAGCTGGATGAAGACACACCCCTACGCTTAGATGTCAAAATTGATTACTCTGTTATTGAACAAGTTTCTTCTCATATGATTTTAGGAGTAGTTATAGATAGCCAAATGAACTACAAATCGCACATTGGTGAATTACGCGAGAAACTTTCCAAACGATGAACGCGAAGATCTCTTGAAGCATTTTAGCCCGTTTCTTAAGCAACGTCAAAGGGAGACCTATTACAATGGTGTTATAAAGCGCACCCTCCTGTATGGGAGTATGATATGGAATAGCTGCAATGTCGAACAGCTCCAAAGTATTTTAAAACTTCAAAAAAGAGCGGCACGCATTATACTCGATGGTGAAAGACCTACGCCATCAGTCGTATTATTCAATAATCTAAACTGGCTCTCTTTTACCAAACAATCTCTAATAAAGAGATGTGCACTAGTGTACAAGCGGATCCACAACTATATTATGCCTAGTTATTTAAATAATCTATTAGTTAGAAATTCAGAAATTCATAATCGAGCCACTAGACATTCAAATATAAATCTGATGTGCCCCAAGTATAAACGAAAAACAGAAGGAGGTCGTACTTTCACTATTAGGACTATAAAGGACTGGAATTGCATGAATGCTAATAAAAGAGATAATGGCTCGCTAGCAAGTTTTAAGCACAATGCTTTTAAATCCTTTCTAGCTTAACAAAAGGCTGTGATGCGCCTTAGACTGTACTTTGTATATATGTATTACGTTGTTTTTTATTTTCTTAGTCATAATGTCTTCTATGAATTATTTATTATTTATAGCATAACGCGCGCGCTAGTCCTATCTAATTCCTATTGCGTTAACATGAACAAAATCTTTATGTACGCACAGCCGTGCTCAATAAAATGACGTGTGCAGTTTCAAAATAGCTCCAAAATTTCCGTCGTGTGAGTTCCTTAAGTTAGAGTTTCGGAAAGCGATATCAGTAAATGGAAGACCAACCAAACTCTTCTTTGGCTTTCGACCTTTCCGCAAGTAGTCAAGTCAACAAGCACAACGAAAACAAAACACAACAGGCCCATTTCCCGAATTCATCGGAACAGGAGCTGGAGAAAATTTTAGCTGAAAGACATTCAGCAAGCACTAAGAAGACTACAAATTGGTCAGTGGCGACTTTTAAAGGTAAACTTCTCTGTTGATGACGTTTATTTTTTTGGTTACATTTGTTAACTACCGAAAACCATTTAATTACAAAATCAACAAAACAATCGGAGACGCCAACATTTTCGGGAAACTTTCATTTCCAAAACATTACAAAAACGTCATTCGGCGCCCAAATTGTTTTCGTATGTTATAAAAGAATTGTTTCATGCTTTTAGCTGTGCGTATATCGAGTTATGGATGCACTTGGGAAGTTTAGAGAGCACTCAAGAAGCTAGAGTTGCTCTCGGCTGCACCTCGAGCAACTCTTACGCTTCTCTCGTGCTCTCCAAACTCCCCGCGTGCATCCATAACTCGATATACGCAGGCTAAGCACGAAACAATTCTTAAATCTCGTCTTTTTTGAATATGGTATATTTCATAGTTATTAGTTGTAGCATCTATAGTTGTAATTGTTTTGAGGGCCACAGAGTCATCAGTGTCTTAGGGCTACTGTTGAGTGTTTTTACTCTCTCTAAATAAAGCCTTTTACATTACTTTACTTTACTTTACTAAAGATAACAGAAATTCTCGTATTGCCACGCAGCCTCAGATAACTACTTCGCTATGACAAACTAGATGCTTTTGTCAGTGACATGTGAAGCAACATCTCACAGAAATCAAAATTTTAAACTCAGGGAATTTGCTTAAAAGGAACTTACCTTCTTTAGCCAGTTTTCCAAGCGTTGTTGATCTGAAACCACTTGGCATGGCACCCATGGCTTTCAAGACGTCTGTAGCACTTGCCTGAGATGAGGAAATCACATTCACAGTCAGATTCATTTTTTCACGTGTTTTTATTTTCTAGTTTTTCCTTTTGTTTTGTGAAAGTCCAAAGTCCAACGGCAGCTGGAAGGGTATTGAGCTGGATTGTTAGTTTCAGGGTGCCCCGGATCAGTGTGACATAAAAGTCACGCAAACGCAACACTTAAAATAACAAAGGCTGATAGGTTCGAAAGAAACTGTTTGGGGCTGCGTCGGTGGGGGTAACGAAATAATTTGGATATATCAACAAAGTTGAAATGGTAAATTGGCCACCGTAACGATTACAAAAGCTGACGTTTCGAGCGTTAGCCCTTCGTCGGAGCGAATAGAGAAATTGTGGGTTGTGTGTGCTTTTAAAGGCAGAAAATGGAGCTACGTTATTGGTGGGAACATGGCAACGAGAAAAACAAGAATAAATTAGTGGAATGAAAAGCGTTCGTTGATCCCTGTGGGATTTAGACTGCCGTGTCCTTTCATTCACAACACTGATAAAATATCGGGACCTAAACGATCCATTAAGATCACCGATCACTTCACGTGCACCTCCGCCAATGTAATCTATTGCATAACTTGCACTTATTGCAAAAAGATATACATCGGCGAAACAGGCAGAAGACTAGGTGACCGATTCCGAGAACACCTTCGAGACGTGGAAAGGAATGACAAGGACACATCGAAACCAGTCGCTAGACATTTTAATTTACCTAATCATTCTAAGCAACATATGGCAATCTGCGGTCTTTCCTTACACTTAGGTAGCACGGAAAGCCGTAAAAATCTTGAACAAAAGCTCATCTTTCAAACCGGCAGTCTAAATCCCACAGGGATCAACGAACGCTTTTCATTCCACTAATTTATTCTTGTTTTTCTCGTTGCCATGTTCCCACCAATAACGTAGCTCCATTTTCTGCCTTTAAAAGCACACACAACCCACAATTCCTCTATTCGCTCCGACGAAGGGCTAACGCTCGAAACGTCAGCTTTTGTAATCGTTACGGTGGCCAATTTACCATTTCAACTTTGTTGATATATCCAAATTATTTCGTTAC